ACTACCTGAGCCACTCAGCCAGGGCTTGTTCCACATATTGATGCATTCATTGGCAGATTCTTATATGTGCCCTGACCCGGAAATCAAACCCACAACCTTGGCATATTGGGATGACACTCTAACCCAACTGAGGTACCCAGCCAAAGTTAAAATTTTTTTTTAATTTTTAAATAGATTTTATTGATTTTTTACAGAGAAGAAGGGAGAGGGATATAGAGTTAGAAACATCAATGAGAGAGAAACATCGATCAGCTGCCTCCTGCACACCTCCTGCTGGGGATGTGCCCACAACCAAGGTACATGCCCTTGACCGGAATCGAACCTGGGACCCCACAGTTCGCAGGCCGATGCTCTATCCACTGAGCCAAAATGATCAGGGATAAAGTTAAATTTTTATTTATTGACTTGAGAGAATGAGAGAGTGAAAAAGAGAAATATCAATTTGTTGTTCCATTTATTTATGCATTCATTGATTGATGCTTGTATATGCCCTGATCAGAGATCTAACCCATAACCTTGGCATACCAAGGTCACACTCAAATAATTGACATTATGGGGCCATAATTGATTTATAGTGTTAAAAAACAAAATTCAGTGAAGTAAATTTAAATATGTAATTGCTTTAACAGATTCATAAATGGGAAGCAATCCATCTAGCAAATTGAACAGTTTATTAAGAATTGTAAAAAGGGGAACATTTTTATCGGCAGAAACGTATAAGGTGGGGACTAAGAAGCTAAAATGTGACTTATTTCAGACAATCACCTCCACCTAGGGGGAAAAGGGGATCTTATTTAAAACGTTTTGCAGGAGGCAAATAATTCGCTAAACTAAAAAACACAGTATTTTTTTTATATATAGAAAGGGCACCTTTTCTATAGGAAAACGACCTGGAAAATTTTTTATCATAAGGTTACCTGTTTTTTCTATGGGGGGTGGAAAAAGTTCATGAGACATAATTCCATTACTGGTGCTTGACCAGAAAACATTAAACTGGATGCTTAAGATTGTTTCTGGAAATGGTGGAAACTACAATTATATCAGGTATTAAACTAGGCTTTCAGCATGGGTGATGCCATTTGGGGCCTGTGGCTTTCTGTTTAAAGATAGCCTTTTGTGTCCAGCTGGTGGTGTTAAGCATGGACCCTAGACTCAGGAGTCACAGTTCAATTCCTGGTCAGGGCACATGCCTGGGTTGTGGGATCCATTCCCAGTTGAGGGCATAGGGGCAATGGATCAATGATTCTCTCTCATCATTGATGTGCCTCTCCCCGCCCCGCCCGCCCCCCCTTCTTCCTCTCTCTGAAGCACAGATAACATCTGGACTTTGAATTGGCATCTAAGGGGCGAGGGTGGCACAGTCTTGTAGTTCTGAGCCCCTAAACCAATCTCCAAGTAGATAGGTCAGAATTGAGTTTTTGCAGCAATTAACCGGGAGCAAATACCTCCCTCCAGGGAGCAGCATCGGATCCCTCCAATGGCAAACTTCCTAGTTGTTCACGTTGGAGAACAATGTGCCCTCTGGAGCTCTGGGAACTACATTACCCAGAAGACCGAGTGCTAGTTGAGCGAATGACACATCAGGCCGAAAGCATTTCCGTTGGATTTCCAGGATTTGGGGCGGGACTTCCGGTTCCATCTTGCAGACGGTGAAACTTGCTAGTTGCTCGGAGTCCCTTCGTGCTTTGAATTGCAATGTGGGTTTTGAGGTGACAGAAGGGAGAAGGCGCCAAGGAGTTGTGGTCCCTGCCGCACAGAGCGGGTGTGAGGTCGGCGACCCCGCGAGTGACCCGCTTCAGGGCCGGGACCGAGTCCCCTCCTCGCCCGCCGCCTCCGCCCCCGCCCCCGCCCCCGCCCTCTCCGCCCGCAGAGTCCGATGGCGGCGCCCGCTCGGAGGCGCCCGGCCGTGGTAAGTGCGTCCCCCGGGCCTCCCCGCCTCTCCCACCGAACCCTGCAGCCCCGGGGCGGGCACCCGTCCCCTCCTGCAGCCCAGGCCCCGCGTCTGTACCGCGAGGCGTTGGAGGGTGACCCCTGGTGTGACGGGGCTGGGAGGGGGTGAGGGGTTGAGGGACCGCCGGGGAGCAGCGCGGGGCCACTGACCCAGGCGGACGCGGAATCCTGGGGTCCGTCCCTCCCTGCGCCCTAAACAGTCTGGGTCGGAGTTCCGTCTCGTCTGGGATCGTCTGGGAGGCAGAGGGTCTGGGTGCCTTCATTCTGAGGGTCCTTGGGGCCATGGGAGGTGGTGAACCGTGGGGACGGGGGCTGTGTTTGGGTTTGAAAAGGTTTTTCCATCCGGCGGAGGTTGTGGCAGAATGCACCGGAGGATGATCAGCCACACTCTGAGGGAGGGAAGTTCAACTTTTATTTTTATTTTTTAAAATAATATGTTATTGATTTATTTTACAGCGAAGAAGGATAGAGTTAGAAACATCGATGAGGGAGAAACATCGATCAGCTGCCTCCTGCACGCCCCCTACTGGGGATGTACCCGCAACCAAGGTACATGCCCTTGACCAGAATCGAACCTGGGACCCTTGAGTCCGCAGGACGCTCTGTCCATTGAGCCAAACCGGTTAGGCCGGGAAGATTAACTTTTATTTCGCAGATCTGCTAGTCCAAGGAAATTCCCAGTCCAAAGCCTGAACTGAGCTCCTGGGGAGGCTCTGACCAATATGTCTCCTCCCCTGGCGGCCCCTGAGGGTTTCTGCAGCTCCGCTCAAGTCAGTCCAAGTGGGAAGTAAGACCACAGTTTTAACCAGATACTGAACTAGGTTGCAAGCCCCGCCCCCCTTTTCCTTTTCACTGAGAGTGAACAGACTAGAGTGGGGTGTGGAGGAAAAAAGGGGCCCCATGCTAACCCAACAAGCTCAGGGAAGGCCTGCACGGCTGTTGCAGAAATTAATTACCAGGCGATTGGAAAACACGGGTACTCGGAAGGTTCAGGAAAAACCCTTCATTTGCAGATGCACCAGTGCGGTGACTCGGAGTCATTCTCCAAAGCCCAGGTGATGAATATGGAGGAAGCTTTCCTTTTATCCCCTTAGTTTCTTTGTCCCCCAAATATGGACCCGGCTTCCGGACTCTTCAGGGGCTTTGCAGTCCCGTCCTGCCGCCCCCTTCCCCCGCCCCCCCCCCCTTGGGATGGGGGAAGTGAGATAACACCCAAAGGCCTGGCTTGGCTGGTGCCAGCGCTGCGAACCCCTGGGGGCGGGGGGTGGGGGGGGGGCGGGCGTGTATGGTTCATGGTTTATGGCCTTTGTAAAATGGGAGTATTCCGGGAAACAGGTTCTGCAAGGCTGGACAAGCTTTACAGATAAGAATGGGGCTTAAGCCCTGACCCGTTTGGCTCAGTGGATAGAGCATTGGCCTGCGGATTGAAGGGTCCCGGGTTCGATTCCGGTCAAGGGCATGTACCTCGGTTGCAGGCACAACTCCAGTAGGGGGCGTGCAGGAGGCAGCTGATCGATGTTTCTCTCTCATCAATGTTCCTAACTCTCTATCCCTTTCCCTTCCTCTCTGTAAGAAAAAAAAACAACCACCAATAAAATACATTTTTAAAAAAAGAAAAAAGAATGGGGCTTAATTATAGCAAGAATGCATCAGAGTGCTGGTTACTGGCACAGATTCAGATGGCTAGCCCCAATTGTCTTATATGCCTCCTCAGGGCCGTCTAGCAAACTGTAAGTCATAAAGGAACCACAAAGGATGGTCTGAAATTAAAACTTTAAAGGAGGATTAAAAATGGCAGCAGAGTAAGTGGATGCTACACGGACATGCCCCCGGGAACATACTGGAATTACAACTAAAATACAGAAAAACTTCCTGAATAATCAACAGAAAACTTGCAGGAGAGAACCCTGATATCGAAAGTCGCGACTGCATAGAGACTGAAAACACACACACACAAAAAGCTTTAACTAAAAGCAGCTTATAGTAGGTAGTCATGCCCTAGGCCAGTCTCTTCCCTGACAAAGGTCACTCTTTACCTTAAGTGAGCCTATTGTCTTTTTGCATCTAAGATAACCTGCCTGTGAACTGTCAGGGTAAGTTGTAACTTAACCTTCCAGTCCCCTCAGGGCATAGCCAAATGCACTTGGGCTCCAGGACTGAGGCCATAAATTCCTTCATTGTTATTGTTATCATGTTTACTAGAGGCCTGGTGCACAAAATTTGTGCATGGGAGGGGGGGTTCCCTCAGCCCAGCCTGCACCCTCTCGCAATTTGGGACCCCTCAGACATCCCTCTCACAATCCAGGACCACTGGCTCCTAACTGCTGGCCTGCCTGCCTTCCCGATAGCCCCTAACCACTCTGTTTGCCTGCCTCATTGTCCCTAACCACTCACCTGTCTGACTGATCACCCCTAAACACTTGCCTGCCTGACAGATTGCCCCTAACTGCCTCTGCCTCGGCCCTACTGCCGTAGTTTAGTCTAGAAGGACGTCCGGAATGACATCCAGAGGGTAGTTTGGCTCTCTGGTCTAATTAGCATATTACACTTTTATTATTATAGATTATTGACTGTTAATTATCCTGCACCCACCTAAGTAAAAGAATTAAGTGTCTTTTACTTTTTTAAATATATTTTTATTGATTTCAGAGAAAGGATGAGAGAGATAGAAACATCAATGATGAGAGAGAATCATTGATCGCCTGCCTCTGCTATGCCACCACTAGGAATTGAGCTCGCAACCCAGGGAATGTGCCCTAGGCTGGAATCGAACCCAGGACCCTTCAGTGCACAGGCCAATGCTCTATCCACTGAGCAAAACCAGCCAAGGCTCATTTTACTTTTTACTAGTTACTGGTTAATAATGCGGATTTTTTTTTTCAATAGATGGAGTTACACATATGTTGATATATATGCTATTTGCTATGTATGCTATTTTGTTGTATTGACAACAAGCTTCAAAACTTCATATGTCAAATTTTTTGAAGGTGTTAACATCATGGATATTTTTACACTTAAAAATGTCGAATTTCATGCCAAAAAAAAAGAGCATTTGCAGGAAGTTTTAATTCATTACTTTATTTTGGAGAAAAGTGCTGCTGAAAGTTATCGTATACTTCGGGAGGCTTATGGTGAACATGCTCCATCTCAAGATACTTGTGAACGCTGGTTTAAACGCTTTCAAAGTGATGACTTCGATGTGAAAGACAAAGAACATCCAGGTCAATTGATCATAAAACGCTTGATCGTAAAACGACCAGAATGGGCCAGAAGACATGGCAAAGTAATTTTGTTTCATGATAACGCACCATCACACACTTCAAAACCAGTTAAAGACACGTTAAAAGATCTTGCCTGGGAAGTATTAACCCACCCACCGTATTCACCAGACCTTGCTCCTTCAGATTACTACTTGTTCTGATCAATGGCACACGCACTTTCTGAGCAGCACTTCAAAACGTACGAAGAAGTGGAAAATTGGGTCTCTGAATGGTTTGCCTCAGAACAAGAAAAGTTCTGTTGGGACAATATCCACAAATTACCTGAAAGATGGAGGAAATGTGTAGCTGGCAATGGACATTACTTTGAATAAAGCACTTTTGATGTTTCTCTTGAAATTATCATGTTTTCTTTGATTACAAAATCCGCATTATTAACCAATACACCTAGTATATCCAATTCCAGCGGTTTCCCCAGCTTTGCTTTCTCCTGTCTCCCTAGTCCATAACCAGTGGGTTTCATGTAACCGACTTACATCTTCTCCTTGGATGATAATGTATAAAACAAGGTGCAAAATTGCCGTTCTCCGGAGCATTATCCTAATCCATTGAGATTCTGCTTTCCCGCAATTGTAGATAGTTTGGCTCAAATAAACTCACAAAAGTTCTTTACATGTTTGAATGATTTTTACCTTAGCAGGGGTGATGGGGACAGTGAGGAGCAGGGAGTTGATTCCTTGCCCAAGGTCACAGAGCTGGAAAGGGGCAGCACTAGGATAGAGAGTCTGCAAGTCACCGGACTGCGGGGCTGGGCGGGGATACAGCGGAGACCTGCTCACCTGGAGCTGATCGGATGTTGGGGCTGACGGTCCTGGGTACCTGGTGTGTGGTTTTGAGCCCACGTTTTGCTGTGTCCTGCAGGAATGATCTGGGACATCCCAGTGGGTTTGCGTGGCATTAATGATGGAGCCCTTCTGGCATGGCCCAGAGTTTAGATGGCATTAATCTGCCTCGCCACCCCTTCCCCTTCTCCTGCCTGTTGCTGAGGGTGATAAGAGTGACTTATGGGACTGAGCTGAGAGAGCAGGCAGCACTGGCACCAAGGCCGGGTGTCTTCTGTGAACTGGGGGGCCCTGGAGGTGGTTGGTTGTGGGAAAGAGTAGGATTGTGGGTTGTCAAACTATTGCTGACTCGGTGTATTCATTCTGACAGGTTGGTGTGACCTTTGAGGATGTCGCCGTGTACTTCTCGGGAACAGAATGGCAGCTTCTTGACGAGGCTCAGAGATGCCTATACCTCGATGTGATGCTGGAGAATTTTGCTCTCATATCCTCACTGGGTAAGAACATCACTCTGCCCTGGCTGGTTTGGCTGAATGGATAGAGCGTCGGTCTGCGGACTAAGGAGTCCCAGGTTCGATTCCACCAAGGGCACATGCCTGGGTTGCAGGCTCGATCCCAGTAGGGGGCATGCAGGAGGCAGCCAATCAATGATTCGCTCTCATCGTTGATATTTCTATCTCTCTCTCCTCCCTTCCTCTCTAAAATCAATAAAGTATATTTTTTTTAAAAAAAGGAAAAAAAGAACATCACCCTTCTGTTTCATTCTTTGAGTTCGTCTGCAACCACACCTCCACCCCCTCCCCCTCCTAAGTATGGACTTAGGTTCGTTCTGGCTGTTGGGTGTTAATAAAAATATTGTTGGATTCCGGAGAGGAAGGAAGAGGGAGGGAGAGAGATAGAAATATCACCGATGAGAGAGAATCATTGATTGGCTGCCTCCTGCAAGCCCCACACTGGGGATGGAGCCCAGAACCTGGGCATGTGCCCTTGACCGGAATCAAACCTGGGACCTTTCAGTTCGCAGGCCGATGCTCTATCCACTGAGCCAAACCTGCTAGGGCAGTTTCTTCTGTTTTAAGCTCTAAGGGTCCTGCACCCAGGCAGCTTTGGGCAGCAGGAGCTGCCCTTTGGATCTTCCCTCATCGGATTTTAAGGGTCCTTCTTTTTTCCTCACTGCCCTAAGCTTTCATAAACTTCATCTCACTTCAACAACAACAAAAAATGCTCGTTCTCCCTAGTGACCTGGGCTAGGCTGTCCATTTCCCCCAACTTCCTTTCATGAGAGTGTGCTTAGCTCTCACGTCTGGGCACAACTTGCTTCCCCAGTTTCCTGGACAGCTGCCGTGTTTGTTATGGCCGGGATATTGGCACTGCCCTGTTTTCTTACCGCAGCCCCAATGCATTTCAACAATGTTAGATCTTCAGATCCAAGAATATGGGATTTCTTTTCATTTATTTGTGTTTTCTTCCATTTCTGTCATCACTGTCATATAGCGTTCAATGTACATACTTTGCAGCTGATTGTTTGAACTTATTTTGTGTGTTTTATTGTTTTTCATACTATTGTGAATTTGACTACTTCATTTTATCTTCAAAGATTTTGTTTTTAGTGTATAAAAATGGAAGTGATGTTTGTATGTTTATTTTTTTTTAAATTAATTTGCAAAGCTTACAGGGGAATCTTGACAATTTTCTGGATGTAGTGTCTGTATGTCATCTGCCAGCATCTCTGATGATGGTTTGTAGTTCATAGTGTCTGCTGTAATGTCTTTCATTTCTGCTTTGATTTGAGTGTTGTTTCTCTTGTTCCAATGTAGCTAACGTTTAGCCAGTTTTGTGCATGTTATCAAAAAAACTGCTGTTCCTGGCCTGTTTTGCTCAGTGGTTAAAGCGTCAGCCCAGGGACCCAAGGGTGTCGGGTTCAATTCCAGGTCAAGGGCATGTGCCTGGGTTGTGGATTCACTCCCCATCCCCCATGGGGCACATGTGGGAGGCAACCAGTATGTGTGTCTCACATAAGTACACAAATTAAAAAAAAACAGTCCCTAGTTATGCTATTCCTCTTTTTGCCTTTCCTATTTCTGTTTTATATATATCAGTTCTAACATTGATCACTTCCTTTGCTAGCCCTGGGTTTACTTTCCTCATGTGTTTTTAATTTTCTGTGGAGCAGGGTTAGGCTGCTGTGTATTTCAGATTTGTCTTAATATAGGCATTTATCTGTATACAATTTACTCTTAGGCTTGCATCTCCTGCACCCCATTCATAAGCTTTGGTAAGTTGTCTTTCTGTACACATTGCCTCTAGATGTTTGTGGGGGTTTTCATACATATTTTTATATGTTTTTACTGATTTTGAGAGAGAGGAAGGAAGAGGATTAGAGAGATAGAAACATCAGTGACAAGGAAACATCGATCAGCTACCTCCTGGTTGCCCCATTGGTGGGCTGCCTCCTGGTTGCCCCATAGAAGGGATTGAAGCCCACAACCTGGGCATGTGCCCTGACCAGGGGGAATATAACCAGTGACATTTTGGTTACTGGGTTTACGCTCAACCTCTGAGCAACACTGGCCAGTGCCTCTAGATCGCTTTAAGGTCTTTTTTAGTTTCACTGACCCACTGGTTGTTTAAGAGTGTGTTATATTTAATTTCAACATATTTGTGAATTTCCAGCTTTCTTGAAACTGGAATTGATTTCTAGTTTCTTATATTGTGATCAGGTAAGATTCTTGAAGTGATTTCTTCTGCAAGTTTGAGATTTCTCTTTTGACCTACCATTGCGGCAGATAAGAAACTACAAAACTTCTTGGGCATGTGCGATAGTGAAACTGAGACAAGAAAATTAAACAAGCTCAAACAATTTGGACAACTTACAGCCAGCTTGTGAATCTAAGAGCCTATTTTCCCGCAGATAAGAACATGTGAAAATAAATAGTTTACACCTCCCTCTCTAATCAAAGAATTCACAGCTCGACCCGCCCTGGTCTGTGAAAATAGAGAACAGGGATCCAATAAATGGCATTTGCGCCAGTTAACCCAAGGATAGATACGTTAACCGAATGATAGATAAAGTCAGATGAACAAATAACAAAAACCCCATTAGAACCAGACAGACTCAAGATAAAAAATAAAACATTAAACAGAACAAAAGACAAACCCAAACTTCCTTGTACACTAATTCCAAACCATTAGCATATTACAAATGCACCTGAAAAGCTGATGAATATTCTTATGAAACCTTCCCCTGAGATCCTCACCCTCAGGAACAAACAAAAAAAAAGAGAGAGAGAGAAAACCTTCAGGACAGTGCTGATCTGGTAGCTCAGTTGGTTTGAGCATTGATCCAATGTATCTAGGTTATGGGTTAGATCTCTGATAAGAGCACATAAAAGAAGCAACCACTGAATGCATAATTAAGTGGAACAACAAATGATGATTCTTTCTACATTTTATCTTTCTCTAAAATCAATAAAGAAAAATTAAAAAAGAAGAGGTCCTCAGGGCAGAGACTCAATGCCAGCTCACTCTAGGCCAGCTGTGGGCAAACTACAGCCCACGGGCCGGATTCGGCCCGTTTGAAATGAATAAAACTAAAAAAAAAAAGACCGTACCCTTTTATGTAATGATGTTTACTTTGAATTTATATTAGTTCACACAAACACTCCATCCATGCTTTTGTTCCGGCCCTCTGGTCCAGTTTAAGAACCCATTGTGGCCCTCGAGTCAAAAAGTTTGCCCACCCCTGCTCTAGGCTATGCCCATGCCCCTTTCCTAGCTTAAACTTTTAACTTTTCTCTAAACGTTAAGGGTTCTCACTGGACATTCAACCAGAGGAGCAACTGGCAACAGCAGCTCATCCCAGGCTTACACCTGATCTTATCTACATGTTCCCCTGGTCTCTGACATCCCAGTGACCTAACAGCAGCCCTGCCTTGACTCACTGCTTTCCTGCAACCTTTCTAAGAGGCCAAAGCTCCCCTGTTGCTTCTTCTACTCAAAGTTCTTTCTTTGTTTCTATGTCCCTAGCTTTAACAGATGCACTCTCAAAATCACCTGGACTCCTGTTGACAAATCTGTCCTACTCAAATTCAAGAACCCACCCAGTAGAGTCTGTCCTGAGGTAGACCTGCTGCACCCTGGTCCCTTTTGGTAACAACTTTGTTATGTAGAGAATGTTTCAGGTGTGGCTTGACAAGAATGCTTCTTCTGCATTTGGATGGAATGTTTTGTGTATATATACAGGATTAGAGTTGCTCTAAAATGTAGTCAAACTACAGTAATTCCATATTTATTTCAGACAGGATGACCTAGCCTTTGTGAAAGGGGAATATTGAAGTTCTCTACTAACATATATTTTTTCTGCTTTCGGATCATTTATTATTTGCTTAATGTTCTTAGTTATTCTGTCCTTGTGTGCATATTACTTAAAGTTGTTAAGCTCTTGATTTTTCTTATATTCATGGGGTAGGTTGTGGCCAAGGTGATTTTTATTGGAATTCCTGCCGACATATGCTATATGTATGTCCTCTGATTTGTAACGTTCGGTGTTGCGGGGGCTGCTGTGGTTCCTAAGAACAAAGTTCCACCACAGAACACGCCACTAGGGTCACACAGTGCAAGCTCTGCAGATAACAGGCATTTTCAATCCTTGTGTTTTGAACCATGCCATTTCCACATAGGTTTGCTCACCCAGCCAGCCTTTCCTCTTCCTCTCTTTACTGCTGTCCAGTATTGGTCCAGGCACATATCTTTATATTCACCTCAAACGTCATCTGCTCTTTTTCAGATAATTTTTATTGGTTTGTGTACATTCCCATGTGCCCTGACTGGGAATCGAACTGTGGCCTCCTGCTTCATAAGCCACCCTCAACCAGAGAGCCACCATGGCCCAACGAGATTACTTTTGGCTGTGGGGTCAACATGTAATTCACCAGTGTTTCCTTTTGTTCAGGTTGCTGCTGTGGAACATGGGATCTGGAGGCACCCCTTGAACAGAACGTTTCTGTAAGACTGTCACAGGCAAAGAAGACCAAAGTACCTTTGTCTTCCCAGAACAGCCACCCCTGTGAGAGTTGTGGTCCGGTCTTACGGGACATTTTCCAGTTGGTTGAGCAGCAGGGAACACCACACAGCCCCAAACTGTTGAGGTGCGGTGCATGTGCAAAACCATTTTATTTCAGTGCGAAGTGTCACCAGGACCATGAGCAGCACAGGAGAGGCAACCGTTTGATAAGAGGTGTGGACAGAGCCTCACCTGCGAAGAGCTGCACGTTCAGTGTGTCCCAGACACTTGTTACCAGTCAGAAGGTTGGACACAGCATCCTTACTGCCTCAGGGCAACTTCAGCCACAGGCTACTCATACCACAGTCAAACCAAGTGACAGCTCGAAGGCCGGGGTTATATGTCAAAACAGAAAGAATTACCATACCAAGAAGGAATGTAAAAAAGTGATTGGCTGCAATGACACTCTTGTTCCAGACCATGCTGGCCATGCGGGAAGGCAGTGTCTTGTGGGCCCTGAAAGTAAAAAAGGTCTTAGAGGAATCTCTGGTTTTCGTTATCAGAACGTTCACTCATTGGAAAAGTCATACGAGTGCCGTGAATGTGGGAAGTCCTTTCGAAGAAAGGATAACCTGAATGAACACCAGAGGATTCACACTGGAGAAAAGCCTTATGAGTGTGGAGAATGTGGGCTGTCCTTTAGCCAGAAGTGGAGCCTGAATCAACACCAAAGGAGTCACACTGGAGAAAAGCCGTATGAGTGCCATGAATGTGGGAAATCTTTTACCTATTGCTCTGGGCTCCAAGGTCATCGGTCTGTTCACACTGGAGCAAGGCCGTATGAGTGCAGTGAATGTGGAAAATGTTTTACCACAAAATCCTACCTTCATGTTCATCAGAGAATTCACTCTGGTGAAAAGCGTTACAAGTGCCGTGAATGTGGGAAATCTTTTACCTATTGCTCTGGACTCCGTGGTCATCAGTCTGTTCACACTGGAGCAAGGCCGTATGAGTGTAGTGAATGTGGAAAATGTTTTACCACAAAATCCTACCTTCATGTTCATCAGAGAATTCACTCGGGTGAAAGGCGTTATGAGTGCAGTGAATGTGGGAAATCTTTTATGTGTAACTCGAAACTCCGTTATCATCAGAGAGTTCACACTGGAGAGAAGCCGCATGAGTGCAGTGAATGTGGGAAATCTTTTGTCCATAGCTCTAGCCTCCGTTGTCATCAGAGAGTTCACACTGGAGAAAAGCCGTATGAGTGCAATGATTGTGGGAAATCTTTTGCCTTTAGCTCTCAGCTCCGTTGTCATCAGAGAGTTCACAGGACAAAGACCTTATGAGTGCAGTGATTGTGGGAAATCTTCTGCCTGTTGCACTGGCCTTTGTTGTCACCAGAGAGTTCACACTGGAGAAAGACCTTATGAGTGCCATGAATGTGGGTAATCTTTTATGATGATCTCTCATCTTCATAAACATCAAATTTCACACAGGAGAAAGGCTTTTTGAGTGTTGTGAATGTGGGTAATCTTTTAGTAAAAATTCTACTCTCTGGAAACAGGAGAGTACACATTAGACCAGTGGTTCTCAACCTTCCTAATGCTGCGACCCTTTAATACAGTTCCTCATGTTGTGGTGACCCCCAACCATAAAATTATTTTCATTGCTACTTCATAACTGTAATTTTGCTACTGTAAACAATATGTAATTATATATGTGTTTTCCGATGGTCTTAGGCGACCCCTGTGAAAAGGTTGTTCGACCCCCAAAGGGGTCGCTTCCCACAGGTTGAGAACCGCTGCATTAGAGGGCGTTTTTAGATTTGTAGGGAATGTAGTTACTTTGTTCAGTGTTAGCAGCACTGCGGGAAATTTAGGCTTCAGTGGTCTAACTTTCATCTCATAAATCCCATCCTCAAAAGTAGGGAGGTTTTCCATAATTTTAATTATGTGGGAAGCATGTGTCCTTATGTTCTACCTTCTAACCTGCCCAGGACTTAGTATCACTGAAAATTTCTGTGACAAAATCCATTTCACCTGAACCAACACTGAGCAAGGCCCCACACTTTTCATCAGTCACCATCCTCATGTCCTCAGGGAAGCTGACTTTGTTCCCCTTATTAGTTGGAGGAAATTAGGAGTAACCTGAGCCCCTAGGAGATCTGCATTTCATGTACTCTGACTATTTGGGGCATGGACCTGACCCGTTTTTGACCTCAGAGAACATCTGAGTTCAGCTGGTATCTTCCAGAAAAAAATTTTTTCAGAGACATGATTGCCCTAGATACCTCTGGTGAATATTTCCATTGTTTCTGTCACCCAAAGACTGGTTGGGTGTTTTTTAAAAAACTGGTTAGTTTTTTATAATAATAAAGGCCTTTTTGTTTAAGTCCTCTATAACTTTGGATGTTTTCTTTGTGGTTTAGGTTATAAGCATATTTGGGCTCTACAAGCATGAGGAAGTGAACAATTTTTTATGAGGGTCTCAACCTTTCTCTGCCTCTGAGGGTTGATACGGTGGGGAAATTAGTTCACAACTTTCCGCCAAATTTGCATTGCTACCCACATCATTCTAGGAAAAAACTGCAGGGTTTCCTGGTACTCGTGTGAAGCCTGAATGCTATGCGCTTTAGAAGACTCAGAAATCACTTTCAAAACCTAGCTGGGGTGACAACTTCACGGGCTTCTAGGATCAGCATGAATTTTGTTTTTCACACGGTATGACAGGACTTTTGTTGTTGTTAATCTTCACCCGAGGATATTTTTTCCATTGATTTCTAGAGAGAGTAGAAGCAAGGGAGGGAGATTGAAAAACAGAGAGAGAGAGAGAGAGAGAGAGAGAGAGAGAGAGAGAGAGAGAGAGAGAGAGAAACATCAGTGTGAAACAGAGACCCATTCATTGGTTGCCTCCTGCATGTGCCCCAACCTGGGCCAGGGATTGAACCTGAGACACATTGAAGCATGGGCGGACTTTCTCATTACAGAGCCACACCAGTCAGGGGTATGTGAGTACATTTGAAGGGAATTGCTCTTTTTTCTTTTTGTTTGAGAGGAAGGGAAAGGGTGGGAGAGATAGAAACACCAATGATGAGAGAATCATTGGTCAACCGCCTTCTCCATGCTCCATTCCTCACCTGGAATTGAATTCATAAGTCAACTCTCAACCACTGAGCCATGCCGGCCGGGTTTTTGTTTGTGTTTTGTTTGTTTGTTTCATCTGTCTCAATTCCATGGGTGATGATCACTGGTTTTAGAACCATAGTTCTTACAGAATGCCTTCTACACAATCCCAGTGGTCGGCAAACCGCGGCTTGCAAGCCACATGAGGCTCTTTGGCCCCTTCAGTGTGGCTCTTGCACAAAATACCGACTTCTGCGCATGGGCCACAAAGTTTCAATCTCACTGTATGTGCGCGCCAGCATGTGGTATTTTGTGGAAGAGCCACACTCAAGGGGCCAAAGGGCCGCATGTGGCTCACGAGCCATGGTTTGCCGACCATGGCACTAGCCTAATTGGGATTGGAGAAGCTTGCAGCCAGCTAGATGGAATCGGCCTCTTCTCTAGGTGCATCCAGAAACATTTGAAAAAGACTGTAAGACCAGTGTGTTCACACATCTGAGGATCTCCAGGCATGTTTATCTTCTGTGCTCAAAGTCACTGTTATTGAAAATAAAGGGTTTTGTGCATTTCGGTACCCTCTTAGATCTTTACCTGATGATCAGAGTGCCCAGGCAGGAAATCAAAGGTACAGGAAAGTGTCTATAGAACAGGGATGTACTTTTGTGACCCAGCCAGTATTTCTGTTGATTTTGGTGAAAATTCATTGTTTGGTATAGTTGATGTCACTAAGACAAGATTTGACCTCCAGAGGATATGAGAACCTGAATTGAATAGAGAGATGCCAAACCTATTTTCTAAGAAGTGTTGGACACAAAATTTAAAAGAAATTTTTGAACCATTTTTTAAAAGTTTTAATTAGTAAAGAACATATTTCAAGTATACTATTTGATGAGTCTTGACATATGCATGAAACTGGAACCATCCCTGTGATCATAGTATTGCCCATATCTGTCACTGTGACTTTATTGTCTTCTTATGATTTCTCTCTTTGCACTAGGAAAGGCATCTGTGTGCTCTTGTCTCCAACTCCAAATTACTCCCCTCTTTACTAATCTATACAAGGGACATAACAGCTGAGCTTGATGGGCAATAAAATGTCTCCAAGCCTGGCCAGTTTTGCACAGTGGATTGAGCATCGTCCTATGCACCAAGAGGTCACGGGTTCCATTCCTAGTCAGGGCACATGCCCAGTTTGAGTCTTGATTCCCAGTAGGGTGCCTGCAGGAGGCATCTGATGATGTTTCACTCTCACATCAATATTTCTCTTCCTCTCTAAAGAAAAAAAAAAATCACTAAAAAAGTCTTTTAAAATATTTAAGGAAAAGAAAAACATTCAGATAAATATCAATGATTGGTAGCGTATCTGTCAACAGGTTTGATAAAAAAAATCTTGTTTTAGCTAATTTTGTGAGTCCACTGCTCTAAGGTGTTCTTTAAGAGGAGGGCAGCTTTTGTCCTGGCAGGTGTGGCTCAGCTGGTTGAGCGCCATGAGCACCGTAAAGTGGACAGTTCGGCTCCTAGTTAGGGCACATGCCCAGGCTTCAGGTTTGTTCAATCCCCGAATGGGGTGCATGGTGTGTGGGAGAGGCAGCCTATTGGTGTTTCTCCCTCTCTCCTTAAATGATCTATATAAAATCAGACATGAGTTCTGTATCAGTTTTAGGCCCAGAGAAGCAGCATGGCCTGGTGTGGCTATGTAATGGTTGCGATGACTCATGACCCTCTGCCCTGGCTACAACCAATCAGTGGAGACCACGAATCAAAAAAGGACTAAAAAAAAAAAAAAAAAGGACTAAAGACCCAGGCAGCTCTTGCTTTCTCTGGAGCACACAAACCCACGTCCTGCTTCCATGGGCGAACCTTTACTCTCTTCCTCCTAAGCCCCAAGGGCCCTTCTTTTGCCTCCATAACTTTCCTCAACCCACACAGCCCATCTGGCTAACTTAGTCTATCTCCCTAACTCTCTAAATAAACTCACTATGATTTGAGATCCTTGGCCCTGAATATTTTTCTTAGCCAAACTCAAAAACCAAGGTTGCTGAACCAAGGTCAAATTGCTAGTAACAACTGGTGTCCTTTTGCCTCCAATAGCTCTAGCAAGTTAATTTAACCTGAGGAAGACACTCTAGAAATCTCTGATTTGTAGTATTTTTAAAAAATTTCTAAATTTTTATCTATTCTAAACAGTGAGAGAAAGGAGAGAGAAAGAAACATTGATTTGTTGTTACTGTTCCACTTTTTTTTTTTTTTAAATCCTCACCCAAGGATATGTTTATTGATTTTTAGAGAGAGGAAGGGAGAGAGAAACTGATTGATTGACTCCCCTTTGTGCCCCAACTGGGGATCAAACCTCCAATCCAGGTATGTGCCCTGACCGGGTAGCAAATCCACAAACTTTTGGTGTATGGGACGATGCTTCAACCAAGTGAGCCACTCAGCTAGGGCTTGTTCCACTTATTGATTCATTGCTAGATTCTTGTATGTGCCCTGATCAGAGATCAAACCCACACCCTTGGGGTACTGGGATGATGCTCTAACCAGCTGAGGTACCCAGCCAAACTAAATTTTTATTTATTGGCATTAGAGAGTAACAGAGAGAGAAGGAAACATTAATCTGTGGTTCCATTTATTTATGCATTTACGCTCAGTCTTAATGAGAACAGCATCACCCGTCAGCTCTGTGGTTTTTCCAGGGGAACATTTGAGTCTGAGCTCTAATTTGTCTGCCTCCTTGAGCCTTTGATCATTTGGGCTGGGTCCCCTCACCTTCACCCACCTTTTGGGTGACAGATTTTGATTCATCCATTGAGGTGAATTTGATACCTCGGTTTGTGTCTCAGAGTGTTGCTGGACATGGCTGTGACATTCACTCTGCAGGACAGGGGACAACAGGATGTGAATTTGGAAGGTCATACTCAGAAGTGATGCTGGAGATCAGCAGAATCAGGGTCTCATTGGGTGCGTGCTCGCCTCTCACCCATGAAAAGGCCTCAGGGCTTATGTTCTATCCTCTATGTCCAGAGTGGCTGTATGCAGCAAAGGTGCTCACCATGTCTTTCCTGCAGCCCTGACCATATGTTGAGCCCATGATGTTTCTTGCACCAAATTTCTTTGGGTTGGATTTTTCTAAAAAACCCAAACCTAGACCCCAGCGCACTGCACACTTGCAAAGCTAACATCCTTACTCCTCATTCGTTAGTAGAGACCCACACCCACTGTTTAGGATATATATAATCTCCATAAGAAAAGTTAAATGTAGATTATTTTAAAGAGAATAATAACCATGGTCACAGCAAAAGTCCCCTAAGGATAGACCTCACGTCAGATCAGTTGCAGTTACAGTTCAAACTTCAGTCTTTATAA